AAAAATGTGAAAAAATCACCAAAAATATGAACTTTTGTATGGGAGCTAAGCCTGTATGACATCGTAATAACGTGAAACTTTGCACAGGCTATTATTTTCATTTGAAAATAACATTCTGAGAGTTTGAAGAGATTTGAGCAAAAAACAAGGGTACCTTCCATACAATTTAAAAAAAAAAAACGAAAATTTTGCAAGGCAAGTGTGCCTAGTTTTCTTCAAACTCTCAGAATATCATTTTTTTTATGAAAAAAATAAGCTGTGCAAAGTTTCACGTCATTGCGTTTCCATACAGGTATATCTCCCATACAAAATCCACATTTTTGGTGATTTTTTCAGATTTTTGTTTGAACAGTGTATCAAAAATTTTGGGCCACCCTATTGTGTATTTTCTCGTTTCCAGATGGGTTAAAAGTGCATGTTCATGTTCACATGCTCATTCAACTGAATGAATTGGTAGATTCCAATTCGAGTGTTGTCGTGGATCTACAGACACGAATTAATGTTATTAAAGTGTCATTTAAATTGATATATGTTACGTATATTTCGAATTCAAATTGAACGCAATTCATTCTGAATTTTTGTTGTATTTCAAGTGATGTGATATTAAATGGTGCCTCTGGCAATTATGCAATTAGTCTTATTCGATGAGAATGTAAATTTATTCATTGTTTTCATTCTCTATTCCGAACACTCTAATTTTCCGTATAAATTGTTGATATAAGCAAAATTTTGCTTTGACAGCAGTCATTGCGGCGTCGATCAAATAGCGATTTGAGGTTTATCGTAAATCGTAATTCAATAGTGAGCTCCCCTTTGATAAAATAAAATTGTTTATGATTGTTTAAATTGGCTTGTGTGCATAAATTTTCATTTGAAATTCATCTGAATGAATAAAATGTGATGTATCCAAATGCATGTTTAAATTTAAAAGGGTGAATTAGCTTAAAATTTAATTTAAAATCCATCACATGTCATCAATTGGTTTAATCGATCCAATTTAATTCAGTGTTTATTGTAGTAATTTGTGGTTGGCATGATAAAAAGTGTGTGGCTTTTTCATCGTTTTTCTGCATCAAACTTGTAATGTTTTGTTTTGTTTGAATGCACACGGCTAATGAAAACTCTAAATCGAAAGCTGCATGATTTTATCGATACCAAATGCTATGTGTCATACGCACACATGAACCAATTCAATGAAATTTACATACAGCTCTTTTTATCGTAACAGTAATTTTGTTTCGATTTATCCGCTCAATACCAGATCTCTTTTGTTCGAATTTTGTAGCGAAATTTCCGGTTCGATATCACTGTTCGATAAATGAGCGAGCAAAAGTGAGTGTGAGAGAGAGAGAGAGGGATGGAGAGAAAATGAGTAAGTGTCGGGACCTTTTGTTAGTCGTATCCAATGGCATGAAATTACTTCAAGCTTATGATTCATTTTCATTGTTTTTGCACCCAACAACACACACCATACACAATTTACCGTCCAGATTTTCGCTTGGAATAATAGTGGCTATCGTATGTTTTCTCAGCATTTGCTTGCAGATGACCAGCCACTATCAACACATCTGGCTACGTTTGAATACATCGCATTCGATATGCAAATTTCGATGTCATATTTTTATAACACGAACACACTTATTATTATTATGCGCTCCATCAACTCAACAATCTTCATACACAAATTGATTTTGTTCGATAAGCGCATCGCAGCAAATGATATTTGCCAAACAAACTACCGCACACAACCAACGAAAGTGTCTTCATTTATTTATATATATGATACTTCGATGAAGCAATAAATCTGATTGCAATTTAATTTTTGCATCGTGTCATTGCCACAGAAACCATATGAGACCAAATTCAATCAAAAACCATTGCCGTTTTCCAGCATTTTCATGATTACGATGTGGCAATCACTGTCTCTAAAACTGACAAAATAATTTTTCGTCTGTCTGTCTATCTCTAGCTCCAACTTGATGCATCTGAAATTCGAGCAAACTGCACAGTTTCTACGAATATCCAAATAGAATATGCCAAAAACATTGGATTTCGTTGAAAATTAAACAAACATTTTGGAAATATCTTGGCTTGTTTTGATTTCACGATAAACAATGGTATCCAATCTAAACTGAAAAACAATTGGACTTTTGCAGTTGCATTTTCACCGAAAAACCCATTTTGGAACAAAAATCATGCATAGTTGCGCAACAGGAACAGAAACGAAAAATAAACATTCACGCACAGTTGCACATAAATCCAACGACTATTGCAACAACAGAATTTGGTGATTTGGGACAGCATGAAAATTTTTGGATTTATAACATTTGCATTCAACATTAAATGAACGCCCATTTGAATGTTCCACTTTATCAAATAAACAAACGGTAGCTGAACCCATGATCACGGCGTCTCTGATCTAATATATAATTGCCATACCCAAGAATCAACTAATCAATGCTGCTACCATTTGCATCGATTTTGTTCTTTTTCGATTCCAGATTTCTAGAACAAACACGTAAATTTGAGTAAATCTATTGCATTAGAGCATGACAACACCCATCAATTGTCTTACTTTATTCGATAAATATTTTGCTCAATTTTCATATTTCCAACAAGCATCATTTTGGATTTGCCATAAATTTATGCACAACAAAAAATTATGCAACAACACATAGAGATTCGATTCTCTAATAATCGCATTATTTTATGTAGCGAACATCGATATATGCCATATCTCATTGGTTTTGATGGTATCGATGCGATATTTTCGAAAAGCTGAAAATAACCTTCGAATACATGTGGCATATGTTATTTCCAATATTTTATGGCAAAAAATATTCATGCTCTGATGCTTCAATCAACTGAAGAGTTGTATGGACTCAGTAAATAACACATTTTGCGTGCCGATGAACTTTGATTGTGCATATTTTCATACGGGCCGATGAATAAGTTGCATTTCGAATTGAACATTTCAGTAACTAAGATACTATGTCTATTTCGCTTCACTACTTCTCGCTTACCAAACATGTATATCAAAATATTATGCTCAACTGAAAATCATAAATTTTCCATATTTTGAATAATATTGGCAGTGCATATGTGAAAGGAAAATATTTTCCGAATTCTCTTGCATATAAATTGATAACTAATAACAAATTGACCACACTCGAAACACCATGAACATGATTTTCGTTAAATCATTTTTGTTCGTCAGATAATTACAAACTGTCTTATGACCTCTAAGCGATTACACGAAAATTCTGAATTCATCAAGCGTAGAGATCCATCCAATTGTTTGATGGGCTTGTTTTTATTGCGTGAATCTTCGGTGTTTCGGTTATATTACTTGTTGGAATCTTTCAAATGATAAAATATTCAAAATTACGGTTCGATAAACTCAAGAAGACGTCAACCAAAAATAAGGCCGAGTTTTTTTAACACAATTTCACGAAGAATGACCTGAAAAAAGGTACCAACCATAAAGTGTTTCGCCTTATGTTTACACAAAAAGTAAGGATCGGAGCCGGAAAGTGTGGCGAATCATTTGAATATCAACAGCAGCGAATACGTGACAATCCACCTTTTAACAACAACTAAAAAATTATTCAGTGAAAATATTTTTCCGAAATTTAAATCGATTGAACCAATCCATTTGCAGTGTTGTCATCAAACCCACATTATATACTGTACAAAATGCCATGCAAAACACATGAATAGAGTCTTTTTCTTTCCCTATTCAAACACACATCTCATCATTATCATTTCATTTACATTTTATAATAAGATTTTCTCCCTTTCTCTGTCTGTCTGCGACAACTTTTGCGTTATGAGTATCGACAACATTCTTTTTTCCTTTTGTCTGCCACGACATTAAACCGAATAACAATAACAATAAATACGTATCACGTGCATATTTTCATTTGATTAAATAAAATAGACAAAGAGAACGGTTATGGACGACCGAGGAATTTCACAAGGGATGAATCTGACGCGATAGTGATAAAGTTTACCATCGAATAAACGTAGAGAGTCAATGAATGAATATTTTCATCAATTTCCATGCAGCCCATGTTCATCATATATTTTGAATCTTTGCATGTATTCTCAAGCGTTAAATTTAGTTTAATGAATTACTTGGCATAGTTTCTGCCATAAAAAGCCAAACAAATGCATTGTTGCTGGTGCACATTTTAACGTAATTAAAATTGAAAGTGCAGCAAAAATGCGGGAATTAATCAAGAGATAGCAATATGGGTAAATTATATTTACATGTCAAAGAAGCGAAAAAACGGTTATTTGACCTCATTATCATAGTTCGTGGAAGACGAAATATCTAAAATGTGAGGATATCAGAGGAAAAACTCTAAAATGCTGGTTGAACAAAGCTTTTCTCGTTAATTCAATTTATATTCAATATTTTTTCGCGAACATAGCGTATACAATGGGGTTGGTATTATACTACAGGAAAATGAGATGCTTGTAACGCTGCAAATGCATTGAAAGTCTTCTGTGTCGATCAATAATATCTCCATGATGTAAATGCATTGAATATAATATGTCGAATGTTTTGTAAAAAGCACCGTTGAACTTGATACTTCTTAACAAATACGGTTTTAGGAACATTTTGATGTAATAATGCTGACGATTGTATGAAGCACCGCCAAAGTTACATTTGCATTTCGTACGTTGATTGAAATACTTCAACACACACTCTCTACCTCCGTCTTTCTCTATCATACACACATATCATGTGTATATTTTTTTAAAACCCAATTCCATGACCGATTTTACATTGCGGCTGCAACAGTGTATAGAATCCACTTAAACTTGAAACAGAAAGCAACTCGACATATTCAGGATGCATTAAATGTAATCAAATAATGAAAATGTAATTATGTACTGCAGAAAATGAGAATGAATGGAATCAAAGGGATTTTATGTATATATGGTTGTTTGGATGTGTGTGCGTTAATTTTTTTTTAGCTTAACACATGTCAAATGATGTAAAGATGTCAGGCGATGCGATTTCATCGAAAGGCAAATATGAAACCCCCACATATACCGCATTTATCCCATGTTGCATCTATTCGATATACGCAACACTTTGTTACATCTAAGCATGACAACGCATTTCTTGTAAGTGAATGCACATCAACACATTCATTTGGATGATCGGAAAACATAGAATTCTCATTTTGAAATGAACACAAAGAATTCTTTGTAAGGTGAGAATTACATATTGTACATAGTTATAGTTAAGTATTCTAGTTTCATATTCCACATTTGATAGAAGCCTTGTCTGCACTAACCCATTTTTTCATTAGTTTTTTTTGAAATATGCGATTTTCCTTTGACATTTGTTAGATTTTTCATGCGTTATTTCAAAATAGCTCTGTGAGCTACATTCTTTAGAGCTAGCTTTAAAGAGAAATATTATGTATGATATTGTATAGAGTGTAGAACCCAAGGGGAAATCGCTGGCAAAAGAAACGGCATCGTTGCCGAAAAAAGGTTAGAAACAACATTTCTTATCAAGTACATCATAGTTTTGCATTCATTCGAAAGAAATCTTGAATCTCTTAAAACAAGAAAAACATCCATAAAATCGTCGCTTCATTTATACCCACTCTTGTTTTAAAATGCATAAAATTGTAATTTACTAAAAAATCACTGTACCTTGTCTTTACCATATGAAATGCAACTTTTTTGAGTAGCTCTCTTGTTCCTCTCAAAGTTCCCGCACTTTTTTATACGGGAATGTATGATTTTCCAGACATGACGATTTACCTTTAATGTTGTATTTTGCTTCCTTTCGTGAAAATTCTTGCATGCATTTTGTAAGCTTTTGTCAAATATTCTCTTTATCATTTTAAGTTTCAAACAAAAAAAACACACACACAGGCAGTATGTTAAAGCACAATAAAGTTTCAATTTGTACATTGTTTGCAGTAATTTAACCAGGTGCAATATTAAAATGTTGAGTATACATACCGCTTGAGAATTCTTTCATATTTGCTTTAATTTTCTGAGTAAAAGATGAGTAGTTAATTACTTAAAATCGGAGCATCACTATTCAATACTTGCAGGAATTGTCATTGTGTCTGTGTGCATTGTGGACTCTTTTCTGTGCGTTTTCATTGTTAATGTGTTCACAAATACACTTGAAACTACTTACCCACTTCGTTGGGCGACGTCGACTGCATTGCGTTCAAAATAGAGACAGAGAAAACGAAATCAATTTTTGTGTATTTTCTTTTATTTTTAGTTAGACTGATTATTACACAATTATTTAATTATGGTTTTTGCTGTACGATTTAACATCTCGTACAAATATATGGACCGGTCATTTTGTGTTCTCGAAATAATGTGTGTGATTCTACTGAAATTGGTATTGTTTTCGACTTTGAAGAATTAAAAATTGTGATGAAATCGGTTTAAAATTTTGTCTAAAACACATTTACTTCTGTTTGTGAAATCTTGTTTTGAAGAAGTGTGATTGATTTGATATGTATTGTAAAACTGTTTCAAATATATCGAGTCTGTTATGGCCGGTGTTTTTATCTTCTTCTAATTCGTAATAATGTTTGCACTTAATTTAAATATTGAATATGTATGTTGTCCATATTAGTCGTACACGTTTCTCTTTACATTTCAATAGGAAAATATATGCGGTTCATGCTTCTTATTTTGTTTTTTCTTCTTTTTTATTTTGTTAATTGACCGATCTGATGTGGAAAATCGTTCGTTACGATGATTATATTTTATTGTAGTTTGTTTTTATTATTATTTATTTTGAAAGAACTCCACTGAAAAATGAAACTTGATTATTTTTTATTCAATAATATTATTAATACCTTATATTATTATTATTTTTCAAAAGCAATTCGGTCACTTTTCAAAAAGTCTGTGGTGTACGTTTGAAAAATGATGAATTGCATTCAATATTCATCGCAAATTTTAAGCCTAAACAAAGGTTGATTATATACTGTATTCATGATATAAAAAAAAGACAGAAAGAATGAATGAAAGAAAAAACAATATTAAACCGTGTATTTAACTTATATTTACAAATGAAATGGGTTCATCACCATCGGTTTTGCCTCTAATATTTTCTCTGTTTTTTTTTTTGTCGTAAAAACTTTTTCTTCTTCTCCTTTTTCATTCAATTTTTGTTATTATATTTTCTCTCATTTTATTTCTTAAATTAAATTCGCTTTGAAATGATGAATTGTCGACGTATCAATCATGCTTGACGAAAATTTCATGGATGAATTCAATAACAATGACATGACAAAACACGAATTCCAACTGAAATGTGCTGAATGTGCATAATGAATTTGAGAGGATAAACCTTTCGAAGCGGTGAACGATATAATCTTAAATGAATAGAAGAAATTATTGTTGCATAAAATCTCTAGCTCTAGATTGTTATTTCACTGTATTTTCGTTAAAAATTATTTATGTTTTTCAATTCCGAAATTCGAACACAAAATTATTGATTTTTCTTCTGTTTGTATACACGATCATTGACGAAAGAAACGAAACTATTTTTCTTTTTCTCTTTTTCTTATTTGAACCAATTTAATTTTTAAATAAAAATGAACTGCGAATCTGTACATTTTTTCGGTTCGCCAATGGTTAAGCGCATCCATTTTCCGCGACATGATGGTGCAGCCAATGCGCTCCAGCGCGTATTTCGTCCGGGTAAGCCTTCACCACGGCATCGGAACTTCGGCGTATCTTCTTGTATAGATGAATTGTCGGTGATTTCTTCGCGTTCTGTTTCTTTTTGCAATGCCTCCAAATCACATCGAACAACAACTCGATCACCTAAAGCAAAAATCAATCCAGAAAAAAAATCAGTTGTACTATCTTTTCTTTCGCTCAAAAACGGAAGTAACGTATTTAAATTCGTAATTACCTTCCGCTAACTTATTATATGGGGGAAGTTTGTGACATGCTTTGGCCGCTTTCAATACCTCAAATTCCACGCAGTACCTAAGGAAATTGAAAGGGAACAATGAATGAAAAAAATTGAACCGGAAAATCCTTGATAAATTTACGTTTAAATTAATTAAATGAAAATGAGCACTAATTTTATTTTTCCAAAAATAAACATGCGCTGTCATTGATGCTGATAAATAAATGGCAGACCATTTAGATATATAATTAAATCGAATTGAATTGATGGCAACATCGGCCTTCCGCATATCGATTGATTGATAAGATCCACTGGCAAAAATCAATTTAAATTGTAGCTCATGGCAACAAAGCATGAATTTATAATGGTGCCGTGTCTCAACGTTGCAGTAAAATGTCCCCAATTTATTGTGATTTCGCCGCTTATTTAATGATTTTCATCTGCAAACGAAATTTATCACTTCAATTTTGTATTTGATTTTCACATTATTTGTAATTGATTTCAATTCGATTTTCAACATTATTTGTTTCAATATTGGGTGTGTGCATTAATTTTAAAAGATTTTAGTGTTCAAAAATACATTTATTCCAAAACTAAATGAATGAGTACATTAACCAATGTACTGCCCATCGTTAGCTATGACTTCGGCCCATATTCTTGGCAGCTTGTCGATTCCACGTCGAAAGAATTCCTCATCTTTTCCAGCTATCCATTGATCGACCCATTTTCGCACTCCTTCAGAATTTCGAAACGATATCTCAGACAAGCCCATTTGCATTGATCGAAACAAGTGGTAGTCAGAATGGGCAAGGTCTGGAGAGTACGCGGGTTGATCAAGCTCACCCCGACCAGAGTCCCCTATCTTTTTTTTTGCGATGTTTGAAATATGTCAAATTTTGATAAATCCTTCGACTATTTCTTGTCGCAGTTTTTCTCAATTTTTCTCTCAGTAATCTGCTCAAACGTATTGGTTGTAGTCGATACCGATCCCCCGTGACAGTTTCACTCGGTTTCAGCAGCTCATTATACACCACACCACTTTAATCCCACCAAATAATGAGCATTACCGAGAAATCATCAAAATCCTGCTATGCTATCGATTTTGATGATTGTGTTGGATTGAACCCTTATTTTTATGCCTGGGGTTATCGTAGCAGATGCCTTCTTCACTTCCAGTTACAATACGATACAAAAATTCCTTTCTCTCCTATTTTTGGAACATTGTGCCAAAATGTGAAAAACGTCTTACAACTAGTTTTGAATTCAACTGGTGTGGCACAAAATTCCTTTGGTCTTACCTCATTATAGAAGTCTTAAAATGATTGATTCGCATATATTTAATGCTTCTGATGTTTTCTGATGCATTTTCATACATCTTTATCGAATTTAAAACGCCAACAGCCCATCATTCAATTTTTTTTGGTGAGTTCACAGTTTTTCAACAAATTCACCACTTCTTTTTCACCAAATTCAACATTCTCTGTGGCGATTAAGAGGTCTCGTCTCCTACAACATTTTATAACCTTTAGATGTATTTGCACTTTATTTAAAGTGAAAAAATTGAACCAAAGGAGGACCAGACAGAAAAACACTTTTTCATCACTCATTTTGAATCGATCAGAAAATAATGACACTGTGTCAAAAATAAATCTTTCTGCTCTGAATTAGATTGGCAAATGTCACATGTACAAAATGCAATTAGATTCACCTGTCAAGCTACACACTATTTTAAGTTACGCCATATCTTATCAATCCCTTAAAATTAATGCACACACCCAATACAATTTTTCGAATGTTTTGAGTATGTGTGCAGTGTGCAATTGCTTTATTTTGTCGCTCTTAAAATTTCATCTTGGAATTGATTTCTCCGGAGAAAACTCGACTACAGCAATTCGACCGTAAGTTTTTCATTCTTTTCGAACCGAACATGAATTATTACGAACTAAAAACATCCGGAAATTGTATTGAATGATATTGAAGAGTGCAAAAAAGAGAGAAGAACTGCAGGGGCGCGCATTCAGAACAGCAATCTGCAATCTACTGCAGAATATGGTTGTGTACTTTTTGCTTTTAATTACATTTAAAGTGGAAAAGATTCGAACACCACCGGCGATAACTATTAGTTTCATTTAGATTGCTATACAGAAATAATCACCGATGAATGAACGAACTTTTTCCAATAGATTGCGTGCAATGACGACAATGAACAACGCACGTATCGACGAATTGTTTGCTAGAAGTTCGTGTTTGTGCTCAAGTGATCATCTACAGTATCTGGTGCGATATGAGAGCATGAAACTAACTTTGTCGATGGTGCAAAGTTTCGACTACAAATATCGCTCAAATTTCGAGTGCATGCTCTCATTCTTTTGTTTAACTTATCAATATCTTAGCATCTTTGCAGTGTGTTCCCAACAATTCTTATATGCTATTATATGGAACGTCCAATCGATTAGTTTTGTATCACATTCACAAAACTTATTGTCATGTTAAATATTTAAATGCTCTCAGCAAAACTAAATAATTGCTGAACAAAATTGATAATTTTTAATTTAATGAAAAACTTAGAGTCGATTCTTGCCTCCGAAACATGAATCTCTTCTCTTTTGCATTTTTAAAACATAAGTTTCATTCACTGAACTAAGTAAGAGTCTACATAGACGAACAAACTTTTATCATACTACTTCATGTCCATATATATTTGGCTTGAACAAAAAAGGAGAGAGAGAGAGAAGAGAAGAGATGAGGAGAGAGAACCTCTTAATAATACTTTTTTGAGATCTATTCACAAAGGATGCACCTAATAAAAGCTTATAAGTATTATATGAAAATTTGAAAGTCAGAAAAATCATGTAAATAATACGCTCCGTTTGGCTCAAAGGTTTTTCAAAGCTAAAAACGTTGAAACATATCTATATCAACATGAGTTTTTTTCCTACAAGAAAATTTGATGCCCTCAAATATTTGCAGCGATGTGACGACGTCTTAAAGAAAAAGAAATTCTTCCACAAACATTTTTCAAACTCAAAATATCATGAGAAATAAATAGTGTTATTTTGCAGCTATTGACATAATCCAGTACTTTTGGTACTTAACAAGTGTGCAATGGACATTTATTGGCTTTGAAAAAAATCTCCACAATTCCAAATAGAAAATGACGTGCTTTTCACACACGTTTTTCAATAAACAAAAATCGATACTACATGTAAAATTTTGTCAATTTTCCCTGTTTTGAATTTTGAAAATCGAGTGCAATGGAATGATATTGCATTTATGAATGCGTAATCAATATCACATATCGGCGAGTTTTTTTTTCTAATTGAAATCGAATTCTTAGTGTGAAAATATGTCATTGAGCGCAGTGGATGTGGGCCATTTTTAATGTGCATTGAGTGCATTTGAATTTGAATATGAAAAAAAGGATGGAATCGATTGAACTGCAAAGGATTACTCTGAAAAGAAGCTAAAGCACATGAATGAATGGTGGTATTTGTGTTTGTCATCAATACAATGCCACTAGCATTCAACATGGAAACGAAGCCAATTTTGTTGTATCAAATGCCAAAACGACTCTAAATGCATCAAGTATTCATTTGAAGTGTGTTCGGGCCGCAAAAATACCTCAGTCACACATTCTCCTGTTTAACTCACTCTCTTTGTGTCTGGCATTTTCTCGATGTATATGAGGTATCTGTATCATATACCGATGTAAATGTCCATGTACATGGCATAAAATGCACTTCGTAAAAGACATCACAACGATAATCGTATTGCCTGCAGTTTCCAATAATGCATCAACTCACTGGGGAATTGGAAAAGTGTGCAACTATGCTGTACACATATCGCTATGGAATACATGATCGTTTTTCCAAATGGCAGCTATTTCTTGTCAATGCACCTACTATACATTGACGATTACTGACTTGAAATTCGAATGAAAATCGATGCATGCAATTCAAGTCAATATAGACATTTACAAGATGCAATCAGAATTCGATTTCAATATAAAATATCAATATTTGTGGAAATGTCTATTGCTCGTTCGAAATGGAAACGCCACTTCCATCCTAATACAAATGATGTTGAATCGCATTTACATTGAATTGGAGCACTTCTAGAAATTCGACACATTTCACAGCTGGACACGTTAATATTGCAACCAATCAATCACGGTTTGTTGAAAACTGCATAAATTAACATTATGCGATTATATTGAAACTACACGAAGCGACTACTAATTTTAAAATGTTCATCGATTATAGCACGATTGCATTTTAAACAGGTCAAAGATTGCAAGCAAACGAAAGTCAATTACATTTTCTCATCATTTTCATAAGGCTCTTATCGTCATGCTGATGTCATTGCCGAAAGAGCAAACAAATGCGATTTCACTTTTTTTTGCTCATTCTTTTCGAATTCAGCAGAGAGATATTGAGATGCTTCGAAAATAAAATGCATATTGCATAACTGCGGGCGTTTTTAGTGTGCGAACACATCATGTTCGAAAGATATTCAGGTAGAAAACATCAATTTAACTCAAAAGTGTAAACCATTGAGAACATTTTCAAATGTAACACGATCGGAAACTTGTCGTCACATTTTTCGAAAATCTTCCACTGCAGTGAACAAAGTCGAAAATGGCTTTTTGATGGAACAAAAATCAACAATCCAATAATGCATTTGTTAACATAATAGAAAAAGTCGAGAAATTCTTTCTTCATTTCGCTTTGAGCGATAAAATGACAACAGAAATGGCACAAAAACGATTTGAGTGAAATTTTGTTGTTGTACACTTTCTGTTAGCAACAACTGTTTTAATTGATTGAAATGGAAAAAAATTGGTTCAAATAGTTTTTATCATGTAGTATTGAATACCATTTCAAATGAATGCTCATTGTAGCTGGGAATGCATTACATTTTGCACTCATTCATTTCCGTGACAAATTTATGTGTGATGTGTACTTTTTTCTATCAAAGACATAGACTCAAATTGTGGTGTGAAAATCGTAGGTCAACGGGAAATTCAAAATGTCCCAACTCATTTCTCATCACACGCTGCTTCCAACATGAATGAAACAATTTTAGCTCGATAACGAATGAGTGAAAATTGTATAGAAAAACCCAAAACGGAAAAGTGTCATAATTAAGCTACCAAAACCGAATTGAATTGTGTGCATTGTAATTATATTTGCTGGTTCGCAATCAAATGAACAATTTGCGTGATACAACATCTGATCGAAGAGAGTGCTGCGTGTTGATGCATCGAAGATATAAAGATGAGACACGCGATGCTAACGCACATACAAGTGATAACGCAAACTTTCGTAACAAACAATTGAGCTAGCATGAGAATGTTGTGTAAAAATGTTGTGTTCTAACACAATTACAAGTTTTTGTTTAACGTTCCATTCAGTGCATTCGTTGTGACCGGTATACTCAAAGTAATCAAACATAATCAGCACATACCGATGTTCATGTACTTTGTGCATCGAAATTGGCTGCATTTCATCATAATAAACGATTGGTTTCTCTAGCTAAACGCAACAATGTGTTCAATGCGAAATGCACCAGTGTCATATTTGACATCGCAAACAGTCAGTTCGAACAATTGATTTTATGACAATAACTGCGCATTTGCTACCTAATCGATGTCAAATTCTAATTAAAAAAAATATTTTTTTTTGTTCTATTGTACAATGTAGTACAATATAGGTGCATGCAATTGAAACAATTGATGTTTAACCGGACAGGTACAATGCGTCGAAAAGTCGAACGGTAGTTGAGGTGTTTCTTGATTTGTCGCTATTTTTAAATCTATATAATTTAATTGTTGAATTATTATTTCTTCTATTTTTGTGATGTTGTTATTGCTTGTCGGAAAGCCGATTTTTTTTCTCAGTTCGTTTGAATGATTTGCAAAAATGAATTGTTCGTTTGTGTTGTAGCATAAAAAATTTGCTATATAAATTGTCGACAACTTCTAGGCTGATCGGTCATTCGATGTTCAGCGTTCGTCAGTGAAAACGTTTTTTTCTTCTCATTTAAAATTCAAAGTTTTGTGAATAAATTGTTTATAAAAATTAATGAATTTGTTGAGCGGTGCAGTTTAAGTGGAATTCTTTTTTTTATTGCTGTGGCAAACGCAATGGCATTTTATAGTGTTTTTTTGTTATTTGTAAATTATTTGATGGTCATTTGTGTGGTTGGCCAAGATATAGATAAAGATGTTGAAATAATTGCGGGCAAAAATCATCCACAAAATCATCCAATGGATGCAAATATTATCGGTCATTATGCGAGTGATCTTTATGGTCCATCTGTAAGTTTTGCTATCTTAAAAGTTTTACATTTCATGTGAAAAACATAGTTTTGATTAAACCACGATGATGTTCAACATTTTCTTTTTATCCATTCGACTGTTCACAATATTGGAATTTAATTTTCCTGTTGTGTGTGTGTTTGCGATGTATGTGTGCGGTAAAAATTTGTTCAGGGACCGGAACCAAGAGAACCAAATTGGAGAGCATGGTCGATGTTGTGGGCAAACGAAGGTGATGGAAAACATGGTGAAGTGAGCTTCCGACAGATTGGACCTGTAAATCCGGTATTGGTGAATATAAATGCGACTGGTTTGCCGCCTGGTAAGCATGCCGTTCATATTCACGCTTTTGGTGATATGCGACAGGGTTGTAAATCAACTGGACCACATTTACGTGGTGTTTTGGTAAGCATAACATTTCAATAATGAAAAATAGTGTAAGAGAATGTCATTTTGTCGACACCATGCAGATAATTAAATATTCATTTATGTACATTGTACATGTGTTTGCATTAGATTGGAAACATTGACGTTCCTGAATCGGGTAACCTTGATTTGTCATTCTTTAGTCAGCATATTCAACTGTTCGGGCATCGTGGTGTTATAGGACGATCCATCGTGATACATGAAAAACCAATTGAATTCAACCGTAGCCCAAGCATCTATGGTGTGCCTGTTGCCGAGCAATCCATTCAACCGGTTTCATACCAAACCGAAGAAATGTCTGTCGGCATGGTTCTTGCGTGTGGCATGATTACAGTTGTAGAAAACAATGCGGCACAATAATTAAAAACCTTCTATTTACTGTTTTGCATTAAACAAAATTCCATTTTTCACGCATTAAGAACGTACAAATCTTTATCTTTCAATTCTATTGTTATTGTTAATGGTTCATTTTGCGTTTATGCTTTTAATACAAAGTATTTTAGGTTTCGACAACAACAAAAATCTCTAAAACAACTGACAAATATTTAATCTTTCGCTCACATAGACCTACATATTTCATATTCTATGTGTTCAAATTGATGCTCATCGCGTTTTCCACAGCCACCGAGATAAGTGAATCTTTAAAATTCAGTCAATAACTTTCGCAACATTCTAGAAGCAGACGCAAGCACTCTAAATGCGGTAGGTTGTAATATAAGCGAATTACATAATTTCAGTTCTATTCGGGTCGAGGCTCTTATAAATTGAAGGTAAGATTGGCGTTCATTCAATTAGCAGTATTATCGAAAATTGTTCGAAAACAAAACAACAACTTCAAAACAACCAATTGAATTTAGGCAATCGACACACACGGCAATGATTTGCCGAAAAACAGAAGCCACACATACATCATTGTTATCAATATCATGAATGTCACTGGGCGTGATTTGATGTACTTGACCTTTTGTCTTAATCAAGTTGTTGCGGATCAAATAAGTTTAAAAACTATATTTATATATTTTGGTTTTTTTGTATAAAAATTTGATAGAATTGAATAAAAATGATGCATAATACATTGTCTGGCCACTGGTTGCCAAGGGCAAATTAAAAAGGTAAAAATTTGATAAATGTGTTGAATGAGTGAAGGTAAAAGATGAATTATTGATGCATAAATAGGTAATTGGATACATTTTATTCGATGACTGATGGTGTTCTGTTAATGCAAAAGATCCGCCAACAGCCAATTCGAAGAATGAATCGATATTTTCGGTGAAGGTATTTTCTCGACCATCCCAAATGAAATCGGCATAGATATGCTGACCTGGTATGAATCTAAAATATGTGCACATAAATTCAAGCAAAATGTTCGAATGTAGGTCAATTGAATAAATTGCATTAATTCCGAATATTATTCATATGAATATTTGATGATGATAGTTCTAATGGGATTTATGTGGCTTTTTCATTTTTGGCACAAGAGCACAGCAGAGTAATCAATTATAAATTTGCAGATTGTGATAATTTCCTGGAGTTTTTTCTTCTTCTTCTTCTTCTATTCAAGTTGTGTATTTGACATAAACCGAAGAATCTGACGAAGAAAAGCTCTATAAGTGAAATTGAAGCGTTTTTTTTTTATCTCGAATCAAACGAAGTTAATAGAAACGAAGTTGCGTAAAAACAACGACACGAAAGCAGATGACATATTTTTATTCTTAAGATGCGATGAAGTTCTCGTTTATTTTGTCATTAACTTATTATTCATTTTTGCTCTTTTTTCTTTACTTTTCACAAACAATTTCACAGATGACTAGGAAACGCTGTAAAGCGAAAAAATATTATTAAAAGCGAATTTTTCTTTGAACACGTCATGCTCAATACTTGAGTCTCTCTCTCTCTCTCTCTCTCTTTCATTCACCTTTCTGCTCATTGAATTTTCATCGTCTGTTGAAACAATGTGAAACTTTTCTTTCATTTTTCATTTTTCTCGTCAAAAAACAGGTAAGAAGAAATCAACACAAGTGCGATACGTCAAGGTTTCGTTGGTGTATGTTCCATTTATTATTAAACCATTTTATATTGATGGTATAGCTTTGATTACAGTGTACAATGTACACGAGTTTATGGAACGTTGTGATAAGAACCAAATCGAATCAATTCATAATTCGTATTTTTACTGCCAAAGGTAGAGGCACTTGTCGTTTCCCTTGCAACGTACGTCATTTTTATTTTTAACAATTTCTTTTCATACTCAATTTACACCCATTTTACGCCAATAATTTTATTGTCAAAGGATGTACGATGTTTCAATGACGCAATTCCGTTTTTGATCACCGAAAAAATATTCCAACGAAAACGACAAAAAACTTCAGCGAAGAAAGAATATTCATGCGCAAGAATTTCGCAATATAAAATGAACACTTTTTTCCATATCGTTCGAGAAAAAAAAACAGAAAAGTACTTCACTCAGAAACTCTTAAGAAAAAAACAGGTATTTGTTGACAAAACTAAGGAGTTTTCCAAGCAAAACCTACGATTTTGGAATTTATGCTCACATGCTATTCTTATTCTCTTAAAGATTTTTCTGGAAAAAAGTACGGAAAAAACATTTAATCTTGTAAGTTTTTTTCAACTTTTTGCAAATGTGATTTAACTTCTGACTTCTGGTGAGTAATGGTTTTGATTGCGTGACTGACAAAAATTATGGAAAATTTGAAAGTAATTAAAAACATTCAGTTTTATAAACATATCGAGTTTACAGATATATCACTCACCCACACACACACCGATGAGCAAATGATATCATGTTTCGATTGATTTTGCAAACCTTTTAACATTTTTATAAATCATTTTGTGCACTTGTTATTATTAAATTTCATTCTTTGTCATTTTCATAACGAAACTCATAAAAAAAAACTCTTTCTTCATTCAATTTCATTTCGAATTCAATTTCCACCTGTATTCGTTGACAACAAAACAATTACACTGTCAAGGGTATAAAGTTTCAGCTGTGCCGTCATCTACTTATCAAACTGAAAACTGAAATGTTCATATACAATTGAATGACTTCAACGACATGTGCGTCAATAAACTTTTGCATGTTTGATTTAATAGTTCTAGTGTTTCTTCTCGGAGAAAACTTTTCGATTGAAATTGATGTATTTGAAGAAATTCATTTTTAATTGAAAATGTCGGAAAAGTAAGATTGAATCCATTCAAAAGTAAGAAACTTATCAACTCTGACTAGTATTGAATGTGCGCTGCGTTCACGTTTTAACTTAAAATGAAAAACGTTGTGTGCACATTGTGTGAACAGAGAAAGGCAGAGAGTTTCAATATCAGTTGAAAATGCAAACACAATTAGATGAAACGAAAGAAGTGGAAATGATTCCTGGAAAGTGGTTGATAAAGCACTTTCAGACGAACAAAAGTCGGGAATAAAATTCAAGGTAAAAAAAACCAATCCGAAAAAAACACAATGTTAAGATCGTATAATTTTATTATGCTAAAAAAGGGAGACACTCCTGAGGTGAATTAATTTGATTATTTTTTTTCTTCCATTTGTTGGTTGTTAAACGCAAATCAGTGTCGTCGGTGGTGCTGTGAAGTTATTAACAAAAGCAACACTGTAAGAATGGGGCATTTTGGTGGAGCTTTGGCTAGCATTTGCATTGCTAATACTGTTTTCTTCTACTTTTTAATGAATCTTTTTTTTCCTCTTTGACACCTTTTTTTGTTATGCGAAAAATAAAACCCTTTTCACCCGCAGAAATACAATCTGCACCCGATAGATTTCGAGTCAAGTGGCATTGCGAAGCCGTGATTAAGAGATCATTGAAACTACCACTCTAACATATAAGTGATTTCGCTTTGCGAATAAATAAAAATACAATTAGGGAAAACAGTTTGGTGTACCTGAGGGAAAATACAAAACTTTTCTGTTAATGAATCCATTTCGAAAGGAATGTTTAAAACGTTGCAAATTGCCACGATAAAAATCATATTAAAAGAGTGAAAATGAAACGATTGCCCATGGAATTGTCCATAGATTTCGCTTTGCGTTGATTATCGAAAAAAGTTTACGTAATCATTTTTAGTTTTATTCATTCGAAATTCGAATGCAGTATTGTATTTGGAGCTTATCCATTGATTCATATTTATGGTTAGTAAAATTAAGCTTATCCCTTTGCTTGTGGGTGGTCAAATCCATCGAATTAATATGTAAGCACGAACGAGAATAACAAAAAATGTTTTGATTAAAGCAACAATGGCATGTGTATTGTGCGTGTGTCCACTTGAAAAAGGAAGAATAAATTAAATAACACAACTCATTCTAATTGTTGACTTATGATTAATGTGAACGTAGCATTCCGACACCCTTTTTTCACATTTGTTCAATGTGAGAAAATTCTTGAACCGCAAACAATCATAACGACTTTTTTAAGTCTTCAAAAACGAATTCGGATTCCATATGAGTAATTCTTGATGAACGGTTTCTACAATTCATTGATTTTATTTTGTCGAGCAAAGAAATGCCTATGATTGGTGCAAAGTGTAGGAGAATCTCATTGCATTCGTGTTTATTATGATTGTGTTTCGGTGCGTATATCTATGAAAATGTACTTCGTTCCAACCCGTTTTTATTCTCGTTAGACCATAATAATTACTTTGGCCTCGGTATGAAATGAACGCATTGAGAATGGTAATCACAATTCTTCTTATTCGAGTAAATGTGTTCTTTTTTTTCTGTTTCCATCGCTAGCGCCATAATAATAATATGGAAAGAAAATTTCGTTCTGGTTGTTTCGTCTGTATTTTATTTTATTGGATCGGTTAAATCGGAAATGATTGGTGCTTAAGCTACATCGTTGAGCAATAAAACCGAGAAAACCCCGAACCGCACATATAATGTACGCTTATTTGGGCGATACTTGATGTGATTGCGATGAGTATGTCATAAACGCATTCAACGGAACGAAACCAAAAACATACGCAACGATGAAAAGAATCTGTTTTTGGAATTGAAACATGTTTTGGCATGGTGTACGGTGCTTCGCAAAATGATGCGTTCTATGGCATATTTTTTTTGCGCCCATTTTTATTTGTTTGTTGGATTTTAACTTTTTCCAAACATACAACAAACGGATTCGGTTATTACCGTTTTTTCATCTGTTTATTTCGAATCGATTCGAAAAATGGTTTCGTCGTACTGAAAACAAAAATTACAAATGATGCCATGTGTACGGAATTACACACAACAAACTCAATCGAAATTTGTACAAAATCTTTTTGCGCATTTTCAAGAAATTGGCAAAGATCGGAACATGGCAATTTGCTTATGATTCTTTAATCCGATTTTCACATCCCGAACGGGGAATTCTATCAGTTTTTGTTGAACAAGTACAAATGCGTCTACAAATTTGAATATCGAAGTGAAACGTTTCTTTTCCGGTCACCGATTCCTTTGTCAAAAGACAAAAGTACAAAAGGTATTTGCATTTTCAAGCAACGATGCACTCACATGTTTGTGTACAAAGCTTTGTTGTCCACTTTCGTCAGGAGCTTAATTTTTAGAAATTACATTTCTAGCCCAATGCAATTATGGTTTCTACGGTGCACGTTGAATGTGGAAATCATACAACAAAGTGAATATAGCATCTCGCACTGCTACCTACTGAATTTCGGTAAGTTTTCACATTGCTCAATTTATTCGGGGCAAAAGTTGTTCAAACTCTGTACTTTAGTTGAAAATTAAATCTAAACTCTGCGTACAACTATATGGAGAAAGGTCATACCGCTTGCAATTTCACATAAACGACCATATTCAATCCGAATTGAATTGTATGGCGTTCACATTCAATTGAGGACGATAAATGTTTCAAACAGTGACCGGTTTGCGCATATTTCTATGTTTGCCTAAATACGCTAGGTAGCATAGATATGCCAAGCATAGCCGCAAACGCAACCGACGCATCGCCGTTCACTCTATATGAACAATACACATGTACAATACATGTTCGTTTATGCAGACGACCGTGCGCATACAACATAGCTCGAATCGAATGGTGACGGGTGCGTTGCGGCTTCCGTCTCCGCTATGCTTAGCATAGCTATCAGGCATAGAAATATGCGCGAACCGGTCACTGGTTTCAAATGGTTTTTGCAGAGTTTTTGAATTGCTCCAAAATAATTGGACTTTGTCGAAAAGCGGAAATAATCCAACACAAACACACACACACTGCTCAAAACGTCATTTCAACTTTTTCCACGCTGCGTCACATTTGTGTGTTTTTTCGGTCCTTCCTTTATTTTGTTTTTATTTTCGTAGATAGAGAAAATAACGTAAAATAAATTAATAAATGGAAAACAAAAATGAAACGGCGGTCGGTGGTGGTTGTGGGATTCAATTATGTTTTTATCGTTTGCGCAAAAAAAAGAAACTAAATTGAAATTCCGAAAATGTTTCAACAAAAATTAGAAAGCTACACTTACTCGTGATCCCGATTGTGTTTGAATGAGTCTCTGTACCGTAACCGCAAGTTTCTCCGGATGTCGATTGTATCGTTCTCATGTCGGCTCTTTGATAGTTCGGCCGGTAGCAGCAAAGCCATTTCTGCAATGGAAATAACAACAATTTTATATCTCTTTGAAAGCTCTTCGAAAATAACAAAGTCCAATTTCAAAATGAGGTTTTATTTAACCAAAGTAACCAAATCCATCTCTATAAGTTTATTACCTAAAAAATTTCTGCACAATTTCAAGTTCGATGCCAATAGCTTTTGATACAAAAAAAGCAAACTTTTCCAATAAATTATTTATAACTAAAAACATTGTCTTTTTGTTTGCAAATTATTTTTATTTGCCTTTGAATTGAAATGACACAACCATTTCCACACAAAATGCGGAAAGAAAATCAATTTAAATTTTGATTGAAAGCCGTCGTCCAACTTTTATTACAGTATTTCAATGAGTAAAGTTTTTTTTTTAAATATTTATTGTTTCAGTTTATTTATTGTGTGCGTTGAAATGAAAATCATGCTCATTTACCAATATTTTCTTCCTCGTTCATTTTCAATGAATAAAATGAAATAAATATTCAATTGACCACAATTCCAATTATATATATATCGAAATTTTGCGAAATTCATTTTAATTAATTTTTCAATGTTCAAATAATCGAGTTGGAAAATATCTGTAATATATATTTTTGCTATCATCACCGGATAATTCCAATCAATATTCGACTTTTTTTGATAAACAAAACATATTGAGTTTTGTATATTTTCACCAATTTAAACAATAAGGGTTTCCGGTCTTTTTTGCATGTTTATTGAATAAGTAAAATATTATCATAATTACGTGTTTTTCCTCTCGCCATTTTAAATCCAATTCGATCCTTATAATTCGCATATGATTTTAATTAAAAATTGGTTTTTAAGTTGGGCCGCATTTACATTTTTACAAAAGCGTTTAATTAGAGCTATATCTGGATGTTTGGTCAATCGAAACCAGAGTGTAAATCGAAATGGTAATTTTGAATGTGAATGAAATGGAATTTAACTAATGAAGTCAATCTGCTGTATTAATATTTTCAACATAGATTTTATGAATGAGTTTTGTGGTTTAGTGGTTTTAAGGTGTAACATTGGTGTATACGCAAACAATAATACTTGCAAAATGCGAATTGCATCAACTGAATTCTGAGCGGATTTTGAAATGGATGTAAATCTGTTGATTTATGGAAATTTATTGCCAAATGGAATAAAAGCGATTCAAAATTAATCGAAGCAGAAATCAACATAATAATCAAGGCGATGCAATGGACGTAAAGTAATAAATTTCCGATCCATTTGAGACATACACATCCAACTGCTCTCATTAAGTGCATCGTGTCGCTGATGGCAAAATGCATACATCTCATTTGATGTGCTCCAACAAATCATTAAATTAGAGTAAATATTGAATGAGTGACGACTGTTGACTGTAATCCGTTGTAAAACAGTGCAAACCATTTATTTCTTTAGTTCGCCCGAAGCCATTTGATTTACATATTTTTGCAAACCAACGTCGTCTCAAACGAACGATTCCGCAAAAGTCCGTGTGTTTCAGTGCAATTAGTTTATTAGTCAAATTAATAATACTAATGGCATGGAACAACATACAAAATCGATACAAATGATCATTTGTTGCCAGTGATTTTATTTGGCGGAAAGTGTATGTATGTTTCGGTGTAAAAAGTCAAATTTGCATTCTGTCGTAATTACTACATGTTTAAGTGGTTTGTTGCATTAAGCACCGGAACCTGTGCACTGTTTATTTACTTCAACCATCACGACGAGTGGTTCCCACTTTTGGAGATTAGGAAATTTGTTATCTCTCTACGTTTATTTGCACATCTCATAAACAAACTATTTTCGAAATACTTTCAGACTTTAATGTACTGCAATTCAATTGTAAACAATATATCAATTTGATTTATGATTGCTTTCCATTGTGTTGGAACATTTGTTAATATGTTTTATGCAACAAACACGAATTCTATTGAATTAATGCGCAACGTTGAAATTGCTGAGTTCGTTGTCGTATGCATTATGTTTTCTATCACAGTAATCAATCAAATGGCTGCTTCAATGCCACTCATAGCTCACATTTTGGCATCGATGTTGCCAATTTATTATTATTTTTTATATCGACCATGACGTCGCATTGGATTATCACATAAATTGGCGAAACACAACAAAATTCAGCCTTTATATAAAACGGTTTGTACAAAATATCTGCTTTTTGTGCATTTGAGTATTTTATTTAAATGTTAAATCAAATTCCATGGTAATATGTTTGTAAAAAATGCATCGCTCATAAAATCTCGTATCATAAAGCGATAAGCGGTTACTTGTTTGATGGTTTTTTTTAAATTCATTCGTGTTGTTATTTTTAAAACCCCAAAAATGTATATGATACCACAATATCAGCCAAAATCGAAACTATGATGGTTTAATTTTTTTTTGGTTCGTACATTTTCATAAGTTGCAGTCTATAGGGGGTAGACACAAGATTTGTTCATGAAAATATGAATAAAGATTGATAAAAATCAGTGATTTTCAATTGGATGCACAGTATCCATAGCATTTTTGCTGACCAAACATTTACACATTGAGTGTGTGGTTATATGTATTGTAGTCCTTCTATTCCGAATGCAAATGCCATACAGGCAAACACACTGTGCACAGTCAACGTATACAGTGAACGCTTGTTCCATTCTTGCGCTGCCTAGTTTGCTCAGCTATCTTATGGATACCGATCATCCACTTGAAAATCACTGATAAAAATTGTTCAAGATTTGTGAAGATCGGTAAAATTAGATATGATTGCAATTCATTGAGAGAGATTTGATTAGTAAAGATTGGTGAAAATGTGCGAAATTTAAAATGATTCGTGATAGTCGTGGTAGTGTCTACCCCTGGAAGTTACTGTAATAAATTTTCCAGGAAATGATATGAATAGTCAAAATGGGTATGCGATTTTCATTACATAGAATTCGAAGAATTCTTTGTGTTTGATGAAAACAAACATATTAAATTATATCAGAATTATGCTGAAAAATCTGAGAAAAAGCAAACTCAATAATTTGATGCTTTCCAGAATATATAAAAAGTGGTTTCGTTCTTTATGGAAATTTTAATTTTAAAATGTCAACATCAGCCCCATTTTCATAATTAAATTTTTGCTTTTTCTCCTCCATGTAATTTTCATGCTCCATTCTCAGCATGTGATCTCTCCAGCAAACCATCTGAATTCCAATGAAGGATGCTTGAAATGGTTTGAAGTGGAGAAAAATTCTTAAGTAAAAGTTCTACGCGTAGGTCATGAAAAGAAGAAGGAATTCAATCAACGTTTTAAAAAGGAATGAACGAGAAAAAATTTCATAGAAAGAAATCGATTGGACTGTGTTTGATGTGATGCTTCCGATGGAAATCCATTTTATTCTATGAAAATCTTGATTGAGACCGCTTTGTTGTATATTAAGAAAAAAACACACTCATTTGAAAATTCAAGCACGAAACCAGCATGAATAGTCAAGTTGCAGTTGGAATAAAAGCAGTGAAAAATGTCATTTCATGCATAAATTGAACGTGCCGTTTTCAAAAACAACGACAAAGACGACGTCCAAGTGAGTTTGTTTTTCTCCGGCGACTTCAAAATGTAAATTAAAAAAAAAAACATATTTATTTATAGATTTGATGAAAAAAATGCTATACCAAATATGTTGAACAAAAGAGAAGAATATGGTTCCATTTCAAATGACCTGATTCCTTTAGCATTAAAAGTTTTATTTCATTCAACGACATCATTCAAAATTTCGAGTCAAAAATGATCAATTCCGATTTTTTGTTCCTTGTTGATGTTCGAAATAATTTTATTGTTTGGTTAAGAGCAGATGTATTCGGGTCATTTAAAATTCGGAAAGGTATTAACCTGATTCCATCTGTATTTAATTTTGTGTTTGTAATGCCCATTCAAATGTTCTGCTCATTAAAAGTAAATTTCTGTTCATGAAATGAGACTTCGTCATTGAATTAGTTTTGAACTGTCTTGAAAGTATTTTCACATTGACCTTGATAAACGAAAAACAACGATGTAAAACCATCATCAAAACAATATGGTTGTATCTCTGTTGTCTGTATCAATAAATAATATTCAAATATCATCTAATTTGGCCTAATTAAAGAATAAGTACCTTCTTTTATGGATCAATTTAAATAGCAGCAGTTTAAAGTACACAATATTATGCAATAAGCGTTTCACCGGTACAATCATCTTTTGACTTGAAGTGTTCATTAACCCGACATTTTAATCGGTTGTTAAAATCACATAAATCGAACAATGTATGCTATATTGAAAATGCTTAAGCCGCGAAAAAAATTCGATAAAACCAGAAATGTTGCCATAAAACCGTTGCCATCAATTAAGTCAAAGTGGTCTTTGTTAGATTGATCATAAAAAGATATTACATTGAGTACCGTCTTTGCGCTTAATGAAATACACTTTGCAACAATCGAGCACATCGAAAATTGTAACTTCACAATGATAATAACAACAAGAGATATTTAATAAAGATGCCAGTTAAAATGTGTGTGTGTGTTTTTTTGCTACGGCAAATGTGCACCAAACTTTCGGGTTTCTGCGCAGCAAAGAAATACTTCATACGGTAATATGTGAATAGAACTCATCATAAGAGCTGTTCAAACATAAAACTGCTGTTATTCGTTTAATATAAAATAAGTAGTAATTAATAGTGGTTCACATAAAACATGATCTCGATGAGAAAATCGTACAAATCGTTGAACGTGAAGTGCGTTAGTGTATGAAGTGGCCGGGGATGTAGACAAGATATGAATCATTCGTATACGGACAACAAATTAGTCGGTGCCATGGGCTAGTAAGTGATGGAATAAAATTGGTGTTTCAATGAAGCAAAAAAATGTGCAAAACAGCATGTGTGCCGAATGGCTTAGAAAATTCGTATGTGGCTAAATTAGTAAGCAAGTGTTTACAAAACACATGTGGAAAATTGCGTGCTCAAACAGCAAACAACCGAATTCAGCGAGCACGCAAAACGTGCTGCGTTCGGATATGTATATATGCATTTAAATCCTAATTATAATCAACGGCTAATGGATTTTGTCTAATCTGAAACTGTGAATCCATGATATTATAATTTAATGGAACATCATGCTACAATTTTTTTTGTCTCCATCGTCTCCTCCCTCCCAACACATATATGTATAACATTGACAATGAATTGCTAAGCTAATTTGCCGCGTCTAGCGTGTAGTTTACAATATTTTATGCCATATGATGTCTACACGTGCGACAAAATTCTCACTCCGAATCTGTCTCATTCATTGTTCACGATTGAAATGCGAAAAACATTTAGCGATTACATTTAATTATTTAAGTGGCCATGAATGAGAAGCGTGAATGTTGTCTCTTATTCATACTTCATTGGGCTTTGCAACAAGATTTTACCCGTTTATTGTTCCATTGTCTAATAAACGTGCTCGGCACGTATTATCTCCGGCTGCACGATGAATGCGACCAACAAGAATGATTGCCAGAATGAAACCGTTCACTCAATGAATTCCATGCGAATCGAGTCGCTTTTAAATGCCACTCATGAGAATAATTTCGACGTAATAAATGGTAAAGTTGTCGAGTAACATTGTTACAAATTTATGAAAAGTCGTAACTATGTAATAATACATTTCAGGAAAAACTTCGAAAAACTAAAACGCCACATTTTATTTGAGATTTATTTGGATTATATACATTTTCGGATCAAACTTTTTTTTACTTTTCTGCGCCAAGTTCATGCATGAAATACTTCCGCTTACGAACGTTTTTTTTTTGTTGCAGTAATTGCCGTTTCTGAAGAAGAATCTTTGACAGATTTGCTAAAATATATATATTGTAATTAAATGCTAAACAGTGTATTATTTTGAGCTTTACAACTGGCAACTCAATTGCGGCTTTCGTACAAATTACACCTGATATTTGATATAGAGTTAACCAGCGTTCACTTCATGCTCTCGTACACATAAGTTCAACCACATACGATTCGAATTGGTGAAATTGTAAGCCTCATAAATAAATTGAGTTTTATCACATTCAAAATGTGGACTAACACTTAGTTGTACTCTTGTGCATAGTTGAAAGCGTCATGGACAATAAGTGATATATTAATTTATCATTCAGTCATGTGAGAAATTATGCAGATCTTATGTATGGAAAGTGGCTTCGGGTGTGGTTACATCTACTGTGTTCTCGGACGATTATGGCTTAGAAGACATAAAAGAGTCAGCAAATCAGTGTGTTTCTCTGTCATAAATATTTTGAGTACCAAGTATTTTATTAGAACAACAAAATCATTATATTCAGTTATGCAGAGACTGTTTCTCAGAGAAATATATGTGAGGAGAAGCGATCCGAGGAGCCAGAGGAGGACTTCTCCACACTGGGGAGCAAGATTCTATTAAAAATTAGAAGGATACTTTTTTCATACTTGATCATAATATTATCAATTTTAAATATTTTTTCAACTTTTAAATTTTGCTCCTCGGTAAGGAGAAGCTTTGCTCCTTAGTGCTCCTCTTTACATTTATTGTTTTGAGAAACAGGCTCTGTTCAGATGATAAACTTGAATGTATACATAATTGACGCCATTTGTCTTTCTGATTCATATGAACATCGTAATAATTTTATGAGGAAACATTAAAAAGAATCTAAAAATTGGGTTTTATGAACCATTTCCATCCAATTTGCTACCAAAACCCTTCGATATTGAGCAAACTTAAGCTAATACAAATTCATAAATTCACATAAACAAACTTCAGTGTTGATTTTTGTATTTTCAAAAGTTACTTTTTCGCATCAACATTCAGCAAATTGAAAAAAACTCTTCAAAGTTTTTTTATGCACGTATTAAGTCATCGATGATAAGACAAAATCTTCTAAACACGAGTAACTTTTATCGCGGAAGCAAAGATTTTCTTAAAGCGCAATGAATAGTTAATGGACCCTTTTGTTGGAGGTTTATGTGATTAAGAAATTATGGTTTACCCTTTGTACAGCTTAACACTCACCAAAATACCCAAAGTTTTAGTTTGTAAAGGTTTTTTATTTAAAACGACTAGATTCGGTCAGTGAACTAGTGTTATGGTAATATGAACTAAGGTCGCAGCTTACTTTTCTTTGCACATTGTTTGCTTTATTTCTGTAATATTTCTGTAAGTGAGAGTTTGCAAACCTAGTACACCACAGTTTTGTTTATGTCGAATTTCGACATTTTCGTTGCAGTGATGGCTGCCATTTTAATTTCCAAAAGTAACGATTCTTTCTAATCAGGGATTGTTCCTCTGAGGAGGAGGAATGGTGAGGAGGAAAATGAGGAGGAGGAGGAGAGCGAGGAGGATCCTCCTCCTCAACTGAGGAGGAAAAGTTTTTTTTGCTCAAAGGGCTATTTTTATCACAAAAATATCATTTTTGGCTAAAAACATTTTCCTCCTCACCATTCCTCCTCCTCAGAGGAACAATCCCTGTTTCTAATTAACAAGTGTAACTTTACCACACAAAAAAAACTACGTTTGGTTTTACAAAAATGATTTATGATTTAAAAGAAATCCCAAAATTCTTAAACGTCTATTCATCTAATTGGAATGATGTGAGAAATGTCCTCTCATTTCTAAGTTTTGTATTTATTATGGCTGTGATGGTCCCATTGAAACGTAGCGCCATTTATATAAGAGGCGGAAATGTTTTTATCCGGTTTAAAAAGCATGGATCTGAATCTAATGAGCTTGCAAAGTTTTCACGTCCGTGTAACTAATAATAATTGAAATGGCAGCATCGTGGCTGAGTTGGATGAATTACATTTTTTTTGTACAAACTGCTTGTCGCTCTGTCATAGCATCTAACGGTGCAACATTTTCTTTATTGCATCATCGTATCCATCGTTGGCATTCTCTTGCACATTTTCTGAATGTACGCATTAGACTTTTATCATCTCAAAGACACTTTTCATTTTCTATTCATAATCTACTGATGAATATTTCCTGTGTGAATTTCGAATGTAATAGTAATTCGCAGTGGCTTCAGATTGTCTGATGCGCCCACATCTCTCCCAACTCAATGCAATTCGTCTATGCAGACGCATCGCAATCGTGATGCAGATTGTAAACTTATCCATTCTTTCTTTTTATAATGATATTCTAGATGCTTTTGTTTGGTTCATATGCATTCTTTTTTTCTTCTTCTTATTCTATGATAAATTTTATGCGCATATTGTAACGATTCACGTTTATGTTGGCTGATGCAATTCGGTTCGGTGGAGCTACTACTTGAATGGGATTTCCACGCGAATTATCACGTCACAACTAAATTGAATGCCAGACATGAGAACTTCTACTCCTTCTCTCCTCTCTCTCTCGCTCCATCTCCACCTTGTTCTGTCGCTGTCTGTTACGTTTCTATTTTTCACAAAATCTACTCATCTTATGACTGACAACTTACAAAGATAAACTAAAAGTGCGATCTATCCTTCTGGCTTTTCACTCCTTCGCATAACTTTTTCTCCGCCAACGAATATTATTACAACAAAAATGGCAAATAGCATAAGAGTATCTACAAGAGCATTTACGTCTCATAAAAGATTCAACGAAATGAAAAGATGTGCAGATTTCATTTTTTTTTCTCGCACCAAAGGGATATATGGAAAAAGAAATGAATTGAAAGGACCGTTTTTCACGCAACTCTGTCAGGGTAGTTCTTGAGCCACAACAGCTTACTTAGGAAATATTGTTATTTTATTACGTTGGCTTTATTGAACGGGGCAAAAAAAACGTGACGGAGTCAATAAATTGCATCGATTTATTTCTGCTCAATAAATTAACCGTGAAATTTTAATATTCACCTACAACAAACACTTGGCCAAATGGCGTTTATTTATGTGGGGCAATTCAAGGAGCAATTAATTCCGGATTATTTTTGTGTTGCATGCGTGGGTCGTAAGTGTCACAGTTTTTACTCCTCAAATATTTTTTTTTTTTTTTTTTTTTTTTTTTTTTTTCATTGTACGTTGGCTTACGCCAAATTGCCGATTATTTTTCGTGATGTTCAATTGAAATCCCAACAGTTTAATACACCGTGTATGTATTTTATGGCAACAATATACGTAACGTACTTCTCATGGCATAGGCCAGGTAATAAATTTGCGAAATCGTTTCGTTCACGCGACGAATTTTGATTGGTGTCAAAAGCAATTTACCGTTTTCACACAATATTCTTCATGCGACGTTGTTATTTACGTGTGAAATCTTTATGCGAATGGATTAAAATGGCAAAGACCGTTTGGTCTAATACACTTTTATTGATCGTCGTCTTCCCTCTAAGAATATAAAAAAAGCCTTAAAATATATTTCATTGTCGACAAAACTTTCGGGTTCAATTACTGCTTGCTGTTCGTGTTTAATTTACATTATTTTCGCTCGTTGGAAATTGCAAAATGTTTGACGACGTGCATTAAAAACTTTTTTTACGGGAAAGAATGAATAAAAGACAACAAAAGTGCATACCTCTTAATACGCGTCGATCACGTTGACCATGACACTTGAAACCTTGGCAGCCACGTTTTTGTACCAAAGAGGGACAATGTTTGCCACCATTCTCTGGTGCACTTAAAATTTGTCGTGTACGTGACATCATTCCAGTACCGCATTGGACATCACATTCGCTCCAAACGCCCCATTCGCTAACCGTACAATCGATTACTGTAAAAAGAAAAATGTTCATCATATTAAACATTTGAACATAACATCTTTAATATCCTAATGTATCTTAATTCTTAATGTAATAAAATCGAATCAATTTCAGTAATTGAAGTGCTTATGTTTGTTAGGTCTTCGGGCGAATTTTTGGTGTGAACAAAAGCACGCATTTTACCGACATTTTAAATCGTCCCCAATTATAACAATCAAGATGACAAAGTTTTTGTATATCACAAAAAGAGAACGAACAAACAGAAAAACTTTTACTTTGTTATCTATCTGTTTCGATTAAAATTGTAATAATGGTCACATAAATCTTGTTTCGAAAGAACCAACGATGCGATGAACAAGAACGTAGAGTTAAAAAAAGTTACAGATTAAATTTCGTGTCAGGCATTATCCCTTATTGGTTTAAGCACACACACACAGACACACAACTGGCATATCGATGATGGACACCAAAAAAATTACACCATTAATCCATTGCTGTCTTTCAATTTTCAACTGACTATTGATTCACAACAATGGATCTAAAATGAAGAGAGAAAGAGACAAAGCAAGAGACTATGTGTTCGATAAACACTAGATATATCAAGTAACAAAGCTCGTTAACTTTTACCCTCCCCATTCAACTCTTTAATTAATAGCAACAGATACAGCAGCTCGTATTGTTTTCCATCTTTTGAAGCGCGGTGAATGGATTGACTCGCCCAGCCACACATCCATCGATCTAAAATGTACACGAAAATCACACGATGGGCGTCAAATGCCGTGCACAACAAAAACGTTGGCATTATAATAATAAATGGTGGCCAACCGAAAATTTCAATCAAACGGAAACAGATCAAAAGTCGGTCCTTTCAGCGTTGATTCTATCATCCTGATTGTTATGCAAACAATACGATAAAATCCTGATAACGACATCTTCAGACGAATTGAAATATTCCAAGCCAAATTGGTAAATATCCGTAATTTGCATTTTAACAAAAGAAATAAGTGAGTTTATGCTTTCATCCGAATGCATACCGAAATAACAAGATTTTCGTTTTAAAAAATTCAGATTCAAATCCGGTCGATGTCTAGACATAAATTAATCATTTGCGTGGGAAAACTGAGTTGGCCAATTGTTAAAGTTGAGAAAAAACGATTGGCTTTTGTGGCGAAAAAAAAAGCACGAAATATTGAAATCACTTCTAACGACCACACACTGGCTGCGCCTTTCAATGCCATATTTTCTTGAAAGAAGAAAGGAAAAAATCAATCAAAACTTTCCTTCTATTACACTATTGTCGATTTGGTCACCCGGTGGGGCTTTTATTGGCATTGTTATCACATCGTTTGGCCAATTTCAATGGGTAAGAGCGTCAGATTGAAAGACTTTATTGAATTTCGCTTTACACAAGATTTTTTTTTGGATCCAATAATATCCGAATTAATAATGACTGAAGATGAGGCATGTGTTCAAGTGTTTCACAAAAAAAAATCAAGCAAAATTTATAAAAAAAAGTGGGATTAAATCACATTTTTTGTCTTTCAATTTGTAAAATACAGGAAAATGGAAAGAAATCGAAAAAAAATGTTGAGAAAAAATGTTGTCGTCCTGTGTTGAACAGTTGCTTTGTGGTTTGCTTTTGGAAATCGAGACGCGAGCAAACTTTTAAAAAGCAGAACAAAGAAGAAAAAAAACATTGATTTTAAAGGAAAACCACATCATAATAATAATTCTTTGTCGTGTATTTTTTTCATCAGCAGAGACTCAAAGAGATTGCGAATATAATTTCAAAGGATTTAGGGAGTGACTGTTCGCTCGACACGATTACCACTTTTCACAAGAGACATTTCATAATTCCAAATACGGCGAATCGAAAAGAGACTTTGTCGTGCCTTTTTTCCCAATTCTTCGAAGCAAACTCGCTGTGATTCAATGGAGACACTTTGCCATAAAAGTTGACATGCATTAAAGTCGGTTGCATGACTCACAGACTTGCGAAAGCGAAAGGGAAACCGATGAGCATAGTGATAAATTACCATGGCGATCATTCTTTGTGCAATGCTACTTTCTTGCATTTAGCAGTCGCACTCGTTCCCAAAGTAATTGTCCAATGATCTCGCATTTATATGCAATGATGATAATAAAAAAGGAGTAAAAAAAGAGAGAGACATCTCAGAATCTTTCATTCACGGCCGTCTTGTTTTTCTTCGCCGCATGTTTATCGGGTCGTTTGGAAATGAATGTTTATTTTATTATGTTATATATAGTGGCCCGATGATTTATTATCGCTGTAGATTATGTTGTTGTCTGTCGGTGTCAAAACATAACAGAAGCAAATTGATTTTATCATTTGTGTGCATCTATAACATGGCATGAAATGCGTCACAGTGCCAATCTATTCGGTGTCGTTTTAAGGCCAAAGCAAGCAACGCATCGTGTGAGAAAATCTGTTACAAGTTACAACATACACACACGCCATCGTCGTAGCTAATAGAATGGAATATGGGTGCTGTATAACATCGTCACTATTTTCCATAATAGTTGTCAATTTACTGACAAATTTATTCATATCAAAAAGTGTTTTACGGTTGAACGACAAAAAGTACATCAATTTGCTGTGATATCGAACGCATGATGAATGTGCATCTAACGATGGAGTCTATTACTGGCAAACGACCCATTGAATAAATCACATGCTGATGATAAAATCATGATGAATTCTTCTCTCTCTCTCTCTCTCTCTCTTGCTTTCAAAAGACTCTTTTTTTATCCAAATACATACATTAATGTTTATTACCGACGGCAACATTACCCGATTGAAAATATAGGAAATGGTTTTTGTTCCGTTAATCGATTTTATCAATTTAAAAACGAAACGAACAAAAACCCAGAGAAGATGAAATGCATTCTCCGTATTATTCTTTTGATGCTTCTTCGATTTATTCATGCATAAAACATTTCTTTTGCGCTCTTCACCGATTATGATTATTCATCGACGAAAGATGTATATCGACTTAGATGAGAGAACACCACTGAAAAATGACTCACATTACAAATGCTCACAAAGAGAATTCTCGAATTGATCAAACGAACTCCTTTTATGTGTGTATACGGCGTGTCGCGATCTCAATCAATATCAATTCATTTTGCAATTCACTGTCTTGTTAAAGAAATGCATAAAAAAGTTATGACGATAAATGTGGAACATTGATTCTTTTGGAGAAGCTCAGAAATCATGTGTGCCCCGAGAACATGCATTTCTCGCAAACGCTTCAATTCCAAGTATATCGTTTGCCTTGCCTTGATTTTTTTATACATCACTTTTTTTTAGAATACAGCGATGCAATGCAACAGCACAATCAAAATAATCAAGAATAGAATCATTCATCATTCTCTTTTTATAATACGTACAATCGTACACGGAAAGTGTGTGTATCTCGTGCGAATAATAAAATAAGGATAAACATGATGATCTAGTCGCACGACTTTTTTTTAGCTCGTATATACAGTTCGGATCCATTAACCATATGAATTTCTGCAAGTTTGATATTTTTGTATACATTTAAGCGTTACTTAAAGTGACACAAAGTTTTTTATATTTTGTTATTTTCATTTTGAGCAAATGAATAACTGACGCAACAAAACTTATATTTATGTGCAGCGATGCGAGTTCTATTGAAACTAATTGTATGCATACTACATCCAGTTGATGAATACTTTTTGTCAAGTTCGGTGATTGAATTGCTGCACAAACTCATATTTATTAATTTTCATATTTTTATGCACAGATTACGTATTGTATGCATTTTCGAGAATTTTCAAATATTAATGGAAGAAAGTTCTTCGAAGATAACTACCAGTTAAGTATTTTAAATAAATAATCGTGGATAAAAGCGAATTTTGAACGATGAATATCTCTTTGTTCGGAACATTGTTCCAACTGTTTGTAAAAAAATGTGCGAAAATAAAAGAATTAAAGAATCAAGTCAAAGACTGTGTGTGTTTTTATACTTTTTTGAGCATTCAATTAAGCTGCAAATTGAATTCAATTTATTTACACCCACGCTGAGTATTCGATTTTTTTTTGGTTCCGGCGAAATCGATAAAAATACAAAATAAATATACCGTGTATGTCGGTTTTAATAACGGTCAAATTTGTCGTCATGGGTTAACAAGAATTTATTTCATATTTGTTGCCAATGGAGAAATAATAATAAATACTGTGAGATGAAAGGTATTAAAAGGCACGATATCGTTTATAATTCTGTTGAAACAATCCAACGTTTTTCCATGATATTTGTTATTTTTCGACTGACTCGATAATGCTGCGGCGTTTATTCATGCGACCCGACGACCGAACAGATCGAACCCGAATCGAATTCAATTAATTTCGATTTTATCACGCTTTCGAAGAAAAAAAAACCCAATGATATGTTTACACGGGACCGTTACAAATGAAATAAATTTAGATGCTTCTCGCTTCTTTTTTCGTTTAAATCGAGAAATCCTCATTTTCGCTGCAAATCTGCTTCGTGCCTGTGTTTGAAGCGTAAATAAAGAATAAACAACAGCAGCGTCCAATCAATTGCAAGAAAAATAACTGGTTCGGCAAATATAACAGAAAGAGAAAGAGAGGGGGAAGCGTATCACCCACGATGTATAAGTCAACATATCGACCAAATGGATCGATGAGCTCGCATCGATATTCGAAAAACATCGGCATCTATCAAAATGACCGTAAATTAAATGTTTGTTCAGTTTTTTTCAATGCTGTTTTTGTGCCGCACAACATTGACCACTGGCCAGTGACGTTGTTCACTGTATTTTCTCTTAAATGGTTGCATCTCGATAGCCGATCGATTGTGTGTATGTGACAGCAATATCTCTTAATACACGCATTCCCGTTGCGAATAAAAAGATGATAATCAATAGCAAGAACAAGATTATTCGGGATTAAAACCTTAACTGGATGCCACTGCGTCCATTCTCTTTCATTTGTGTGCTTGAATTT